AAATGAAAACACTAACTCAAAAAGATAAACAAACTACCATTTTTACCACAGCATTATTTACAAGACCAAAGACATGGAAACAACCTAAGTATCCATTGATGGATGAATGGTTAAGGAGAATGTGGTATATATACACAACGGGATATTATGCAGTCATAAGTAAGAAGGAAATCCTGCTATTTGCAACATGGATGGATCTTGAGGGTATTATACTGAGTGAAAAAGCGAACAAATACTACATAATCCCACGTATACATGGAATCCAAAAACAAACAAACAAACAACAAAATCAAAGATACAGAGAACAGACTGGTGGTTGCCAGAGACAGGGGGTTTGGCATGGGTGAAATCGGTGAAGGTGGTCAAAAGATACATACCTCCAGTTAGAAAACAAGTCATGAAGATGTAATGTACATCATGAAGACTAGTTATTAATACTGTACTGTATATTTGAAATTGCTAAGAGAGTAGAACTTAAAAGTTCTCATTACAAGAAAAAAAATTGTTTACTGTATGGTGACAGATGGTAACCAGACTTGTGGTGATCATTTCACAATATATACATATATCACATTGTACACCTGAAAATAATGCTTATCTATATTATCAATATAATTCAATTATAATGCTAAAAAAGTAGGAAAAAGAAATGGTGTTAAAAATACTAAAATACAAAACTTCTTCCTTCCTTCCAAAAAGAACCACATAAAAACCTCCCAGATTAAATTCCTGAAAACAAACAAACAAAAACTTATAGGTTGCACCATACTTAACAGTGAAAGAATCAAATGCTTCCCCCTATGATCAAGAACAAGACATGTCCACTCTCACTTCTTTTTAATATTGCACTAGAGGTTCTAGCCAATACAATAAGAAAAAAAGAAAAAAGAAATAGAATTCTCCAGATTGAAAAGATACAAAAGTGTCTTTATTAGCAGACAGCATGCTCTATGTAGAAAATCTGATGAATCTACAAATATTCTACTACAGCTAAAAGTGAATTTAGTAATATTGCAGTAAAACTACAAAATACAGCTGAGAGCAATTAAAGACCTAAATAAATGGTGAACTATACCATGGTCAGGAGTCAGAAGACTCAATATTGTTTAGATGAAAATTTTCCACATACTGATCTATAGATTCAATGCAATCTCAAACAAAATCCCAGCAGTTTTTTAATAAAGAAATAGATTCTAAAATTCATGTGATAGCAAAAGACCTAGGAGAGCCAAAATCACTTGAAAAAGAATAAAGTCAGAGGACTAACACTAGCATCTTCAATATAAAACTATATTAATATATAAAACTATAGTAATCAAGACAGTATGAGATTAGCATGAAGACAGACCAATAATAGATCAATGAAATAGAATACATAGTGCAGAAAAAGACTCACATATATGTGATCAATTCATTTTCAACAAAGGCAGAAATACAGTTTAGACACAAAATAATAGTCTTTTCAACAAATGGCACCTAAACAATTGCTCATATAAATATATTTATATCTTTTAAAAGAAACTTCAGTCCACATCTTGCAATATATACAAAATTCATCCCAAGTGGATGGTAGACCAACTATAAAATCTGACACTTATAAAACTTCTGGAAGAATATATAGATTATCTTTGTGACCTTAGAGTGAGTGTCCAGAAAGATTTCTTGGCTAACCATGAAAAGCACAATCCATAAAGAAAAAATTTGTAATTAGACTCCATCAAAATTAAAAACTGTTAAAAGAATGAAAAGATAAAATACAACTGGGAGAAAGTATTTCCAAATCATGTATCTGGAAAAAAAAAATAAAAAAAGACTTATACTCAGAATACATAAATGTCAAAATTCAATGACAAGAGAACAAAAACCCAAATAAAAATGGGCAAAAGAACTATAATGAGCTATCACCTCACACCTGTCGGAATGGCTAAAATCAACAACACAAGAAACAACAGGTGTTGATGAGGATGTGGAGAAAAAGGAACCCCATTTCTTTTTCCTACTTTTTTAGCATTATAATTGAATTATATTGATAATATAGATAATATAGATATATACACTGTTGGTGGGAATGAACACAAACTGGTGCAGCCACTGTGGAAAACAGTATGGAGGCTCCTCAAAAAATTGAAAATAAAACTATCCTACAATCCAGCAACTGCACTATGGGGTATTTACCCAAAGAATACAAAAATACTAATTCAAAGGAGTACATGCACCCCTATGTTCACAGCAGCATTATTTACAACAGCCAAACTATAGAAATGGCCCAAGTGTCCACTGACTGATGAACGGATAAAGAAGAGATGGTATATATACACAATGGAGTATTACTTGGCCACAAAAAAGAATGAAATCTTGCCATTTGCAATGACATGGATGGAGCTAGAGGGTATTATGCTAAGCAAAATAAGTCAGTCAGAGAAAGACAAATACCATGATTTCACTCACATGTGCAATTTGAGAAACAACACAAATGAGCATGGGGAAAAGGGAGAGAGAGAGGCAAACCAAGAAACAGACACTTAACTATAGAGAACAAACTGACGGTTACCAGAGGGGAGGTGGGTGGGTGGACGGGTTAAACAGGTGACGGGGATGAAGGAGGGCACTTGTTGTGATGGGTACCAGGTGTTGTAAGTGTTGAATCACTCTTTTGTGCACCTGAAACTAATGTTACACTGTATGCTAACTAACTGGAATTTAAAATTATTTTTAAGGGCGCCTGGGTGGCTTGGTTAAGCGTCTGCCTTTGGCTCAGGTCATGATCCCAGGGTCCTGGGATCAAGTACCACATCAGGCTCCCTGCTCAGTGGGGAGTCTGCTTCTCCCTCTGCTTCTGGCCCTCCCCCCGGCTTGTGTGCTCTCTTGCTCTCTTGCTCTCAAATACATAAAATCTTTAAAAGTATTTTTAAAAAAGAAGAAAATGGGCAAAAGATCTGAACACACATTTCACTAAAGAAAACACAGGGATGGAAAGCACATGAAAAGATGTTCAACATCATTAGTCATTAGTCATTAGTCATTTGGAAATGTAAGTTAAAACCATAATAAAATACTACTACAAACCAACAGGCTAAAATTCAGATTGATCAATTATTAGGATGTGGAGGAACTAGAACTCTCATACATTGCTGGTGGGAATGTAAAATGGCTCAGCTATTTTGTAAATAGTTTGGCAGTTTCTTAAAAAGTCAAACATACAACTACCATATCATCCAGGCATTCCACTCCTAGGTATTTATTTACCCAACAGAAATGAAAACATATGTTTGTACACATATGTTCATAGCAGTTTTATTTGTAATAGCCAAAACTCAAATGTCCATGAACAGGTGAGTGAATAAACAAATTAAGGTGTATCCATACAATGAAATACTAGTCAGCTATACCCAAACAAACACATACCCACACACCTTTTGATACACACGACATGGATGAATCTCAAAAGATTAAAGCTCAGTAAAAGAATCCAGAGGAAAAGCATATATACTATATAATTTATATAAAACTCTAGTAAATTCAATATAATCTATAGTAACAGAAAGCAGATCATTGGTTACCTGGGGACTAGAAGAGGGTTGGGGAGGGGTCAGAAGTATGGATTACAAAGAGGCACAAGGAGGGGCGCCTGGGTGGCTCAGATGGTTAAGCGTCTGCCTTCGGCTCAGGTCATGATCCCAGAGTCCTGGGATCAAGTACCACATCGGGCTCCTGGCTCAGCGGGGAGCCTGCTTCTCCCTCTGCCTCTCTCCCTGCTCATGCTCTCTCTCTCTGTATCTGTGTCTCAAATGAATAAATAAAATCTTAAAAAAAAAAAAAAAGGCACAAGGAAACTTTGAAGGTAATGAATATATTCATTATCTTGATTGTGATGATTTCATGATGTCAAAACAAGGCAAAACTTAAATGGCCCTTAATAAAGCTGTTAAAAAATGAACAAACTAAACTGGTACATTTATACAATAGAAATCTATGTAGCAATTTTAAAGAATGAAGTAGGGTTAATATATACCAAACATTTCCAAGATACAGGGTTAAAGGAAAACAAAGTGCAGGGTACTATACATAATCTGCTACCATTTGCAATTTTGTTTTAAAAAAGGATACTGAACCAACCTATCTAATAATTGTTTCTATAAGCATAGAATATCTCTGGAAAGAGACCCAAAAATTGATGAGAAAGAGAGATAGGGAGAGAAGGAGGGAGGGAGGAGGAGAGAGGACAGGAGAGTGAGAGAGAAGGAAAGAGGGAGATGGGGGGGTAGGCTGAGATTTGGTGCAGAAGGGAAACAGTTTTCACTACATACCTTTTTGAACTAGGATTTTTTCCTGCACAAATGTACCACTTTTTCAACAAACATAAAATGACCTATTGATTCCATTTTGGTGAGCTCTGTCCTATAGAACACTTACACCAGGGCGTCTGGGTGGCTCAGTGAATTAAGTGTCTGGCTCCTGATTTCGGCTCAGGTCATGATGTCAGGATCGTGAGATCGAGCCCCACATCGGGCTCCATGCTCAGTGCGGAGTGTACTTGAGATTCATTCTCCCTCCCTCTCCCTCCCCTTGTCCCTGCCCCCACTTGTGTGCATACGTGTGCGTGCTCTCTCTCTTAAAATCTTTTAAAAAAAAGTCTCAAGACTTTATTAATTTATTTAAAATTGACCTATAATTGACATATAACTCAATAAAGATTTTTCTTAATTTATTTATCTTTTAAAAGATTTTATTTATTTATTTGAGAGAGAGCAAGAGTGAGAGAGAATGCAGAGGGAGAGAGAGAAGCAGGCTCCCCGCTGAGCAGAGAGCCCTATGCCGGGCTCGATCCCAGGACCCCGTGATCATGACCCAAGCTGAAGGCAAGATGCTTAACCCATTGAGCCACCCAGGCGTCCCAAGATTTTTTAAAATTTAATTAAACTAATGGTTTCAGTTTGCATGGCCACTGTAATAGATGTGAAAGCATGATAATTTTAAACTGGACTTAAGATGACACTCACCCTTTTCCGCGCTTCAGATTTCTGGAAGCACTCGTGCTGTATGAAAGTAGCTGCAGCAGAAATTCTGGGTGGCGGTGTGTGGTCTGCATCGAGCATACTCACTGCTCGCTCCAGAGTCATCTCCATGTCTGCATTCCTAGACAAACAGTCACAGATTCAGCAGAATTCCAAACCTGCTCCCTCCTGCCTACCAACCTGATCCTCCAGAAATGACTCTGCTAAATATCCGAAAGCACCTAGAACATCTGAGCCTTGGCTTCTCTTCCCCCAAAAGAAAAGTCAGCACCTGAAGATCAGAAGGTACAGGAAGCTAGCAGAAGAAATATTCCAGCTCTGGTCAGACTGGCCTCTGAAAATGTCACTGAATTGAGCAGACTCATAATATATACCAAAGAAAGAAGATGAAGTCTGTTAAGATAAATATGTGTAGTATGATAAGTATGTATTAAAAGGTCACTTTAAAGGCACAATGTGTGGGGTGCCTGGGTGGCTCAGTCAGTGGAGCCACTTATAAATACATACATATATACATACATACATAAGGCACCAATAAGACTTTATGTGGAACTTAAAATAAATTTGATCTTAGAAATTAAGAATTATTTCTACCATGGTAATGTTACATCTGTGGATGAAACACCTTCCCTCAATAATCATTAGATTTTTCTCAAAGCTGCTCAGAATCTGTTATTTCACCTAACAATGAGTTTTAAAATAAGCATTCAAAAAGTTTTCTAATAAAAATAATAGTATGTAAACAGTAAAAGCCAGTAAAATTGAGTTTGTTTTGTTCAAATAAGGCATGCTGATGTGACAGAACCCATCAGGAAAAGTAATGATTAAACATAATTATAATATGCTTTTTCTTAAAGAAAACAATTTTGTACCCATTCTGTCACCATTTGCTTTGCCACTGCAATGACATTTGGTTTATGTCTATCTAGTAGCGTACTTTTGTCCTTTACTAATTGTGGGTATTTATAGTGATGATGAAATCTGATGCAGTTCGACACAAGAGAGGATAATTTATAGAGGACAAATAAAATTGCCACTTGTAAAACAATAGCTCCCAAATGCCTCATCGAACTGTTTTTTTCCTCCCTTTTATTTCTGCCTGGAGGGTAACTAGGTTAGGCAACCTATTATCACTGTGGATGTTAACACATTCATGCTTCCGTAAGCACTGACTCAGAGAAAGCAGACGCAGGATGGCAACATCTTAGAATTATGGCTAAAAACTTGTCTTAAAGGTATCCTAGGACTTTGGCTTCAAAGAGGATTACACCTGATTCACTCCTGGTAATGGAGAACAAAAAGATAGCTTGGCAGGGTATTTTCCAGTATTTGCTAACAAGCACAAGGAATACAGGCATACCATGTTTTATTGTACCTTACTCTACGAGGCTTTGCAATATTGCTTTTTTAAAGATTTGAAGGCTGTGCCAACCCTGTGTCAAGCATGCCTATCAGGGCCAGTTTTCCAACAGCATTTTCTCCCCCCATGTCTCTGTGTCACATTTTGGTAATTCTCACAATATTTCAAATTTTTTGCTACAGTGATCGGTGATCAATGATCTTTGATGTTACTACTGTATTTATTTGGGGGGGGGGTGCCACGAACCACACCCACATAAGATGGTGAACTTCACTGATAAATGTGTGTATTCTGACTGCTCCACCAACTGGCTATTTCCCCATCTCTCCCTTCTCCGTAGGGCCTCCATATTCCCTGAGACACAGACTGAGCCAGTTAATAACCCTACAGTAGCCTCTAAGTGTTCGAGTGAAAGGAAGAGTTGCACGTCTCTCACTTTAAATCAAAAGCTAGAAATTATTAAGCTCAGTGAGGAAGGCACATTGAAAGCCAAGAAAGGCTGAAAGCCAGACCTCTTGTACCAAGCAGCTGGCCAAATTGTGAACGCAAAGTAAAAGTTCTTGAAGGAAATAGAAAGTTCACTCTAGCGAACACGCAAATGATAAGAGAGTGAAACAAGAGGGGAGCCTGGGTGACTCAGTCGGTTAAGTGTCTGCCTTCAGCTCTGGTTGTGATCCCGGGGTCCTGGGACTGAGCCCGGGGAATGGGGTTCCACGCTCAACGGGGCGTCTGCTTATCCCTCGCTCTCTGCCCCTCTCCCCTCACCCCCGCTCATGCTCAGTCTCTAGCTTGCTCTCTCTCAAGTAAATAAATAAAATCTTAAAAAAAAAAAAAAGTGAAACAACCTTATTGCTGATATGGAGAAATATTCAGTTGTCTGGAAAGATGATCAAACCAGCCACAACATTCCCTTAAGCCAAAGCCAAAACCACAGAAAGGCCCGGACTCTCCTTAATTCTGTAAAGTCTGAGAGAGGTGAGAAAGCTGCAGAAGAAAAGTATGAAGCTAACAGAGGTTGGTTCATAAGGTTTAAAGAAAGAAGCCGTTTCCATAACATAAGTGCAAGGGTGAAGCACATTTAAAAAAAAAAAAACCTATTTATTTGAGAGAGTGCATGCAGGGTAGGGGCGGGGAGGGCAAAGGGAGAGGGAGAGAAAGTCTCAAGCAGACCCCTCACTAAGCGCAGAGCCTAAGCGGGGCTCAATCTCATGACCCTGAGATCAGGACCTGAGCTGAAATCAAGAGTTGGATGCTCAACAGACTGAGCCACCCAGGCACCCCTAGGTGAAGTACTTTTGTAGAAGCTACAAGTCATCCAGATCTTGCTAAGATAATTAATGAAGGTGGCTACACTAAACAACAGATTTTCAATGCAGACAAAGCAGCTTTATATTAGAAGAAGATGCCATCTGAGACTTTCATAGCTAGGGAGGAGAAGCCAATGTCTGGCTTCTAAAACAGGCCGACTCTTTTGTTAGGTGCTATTGCAGCTGGTGACTCTAAGTTGAAGCCAATGCTCACTGACCATTTCCAAAATCCTAGGGCCCTTAAGAATTATGCTAAATCGGGCGCCTGGGTGGCTCAGTCGTTAAGGTCTGCCTTTGGCTCAGGTCATGATCCCAGGGTCCTGGGATCGAGTCCCACATCGGGCTCCCTGCTCTGCGGGAAGCCTGCTTCTCCCTCTCCCACTCCCCCTGCTTGTGTTCCTGCTCTCGCTATGTCTCTCTCTGTCAAAAAAATAAATGAAAAAATCTTTAAAAAAAAAAAAGAATTATGCTAAATCTACTTTGCCTGTGCTCTATCAATGGGACAACAAACCCTGGATGACAGCACATTTGTTTGCAACATGGTTTATTGAATATTTAGCCCACTGTTGAGACCCACTGTTCAGAAGGAAAAGATACCTTTCAAAATATTACTGTTCATTGACAATGCATGTGATCACCCAAGAAATCAGAAGGAGACATACGATGAGATTAATGTTGTTTTTATGCTTACTATCACAATATCCATTCTGCAGCCCATGGATCAATGAGTAATTTTGACTTTCAAGTCTTACTACTTAAGAAATACATCGCTTTGGCGGTACATATACTAAAATTGGAACCATACAGAGAAGATTAGCATGGTCTTTGCACAAGGATGACATGTAAATTCATGAAGTGATCTACAGTTTTTATAAGTTGGGAATAAAAGGCACAGCATAAGTATAGTCAATGATACTGTAATAGGGTTGTATGGTGACAGATGGTAGCTACACTTGTGAGGAGCAAAGCATAATTTATAAACTTGTTGAATCAATATGTTATATACCTGGAACTAATGTAACATTGTGTATCAACTACACACACTCAAATTTAAAAAATTAAAAAAAAAAAAAAAACACTGTGCAAGGCTATAGCTTCCATAGATAGTAATTCCTCTGATGGATTTGGGCAAAGTAAATTGAAAAGCTTCTAGAAAGGATTCACCATTCTAAGTGCCATATAAGAGCATTCCTGAATCAAGGTGCCTGGCTGGCTCAGTTGAAAGAGCAAGTGACTCTTGATCTTGGGATCGTGAGTTTGAGCCCCACAATGGGTGTAGAGATTATGTAGATAAATAAAACAAAAAAAAAAAAAAATAAAGAGCATCCTGATTCACAGAAAGAGATCAAAATATCAACATTAACAGAAGTTGATTCCAACCCTCAAGATGACTTTGAGGGGTTCAGGACTTCAGTAGAGGAAGTAACTGCAGATGTGGTGGAAATAGCCAGAGAGCTAGAATCAGAAGTGGAGCCTGAAGATAGGACTGAATTGCTGCAATCTCATGATAAAATTTTAACAAAAGAGGAGTTGCTTCATATGGATAAGCAAAGAAAATGGCTTCTTGAAATGGAATCTACTGCTGGTGAAGATGCTGTGAAGACTGCTGAAATGACAATAAAGGGTTTAGAATATTACATCAACTTAGTTGCTAAAGAAGCTGCAGGGATGGGAGAATTGCTTCCAATTTTGAAAGAAGTTCTCCTGTGGGTAAAATGCTATCAAACAGCATCACATGCTAAAGAGAAATCATTCATGCAAAGAAAAGTCAATCAATGGGGCAAACTTCACTGTCTTACTTTTTTTTTTAAAGATTTTATTTAGGGGTGCCTGGGTGGCTCAGATGGTTAAGCGTCTGCCTTCGGCTCGGGTCATGATCTCTAGGTCTTGGGATCGAGCCCCATGTCGGGCTCCCCGCTAGGCGGGGAGTCTGCTTCTTCCTCTCCCTCTGCCTCTCCCCCTGCTTGTGCTCTCTCTCTCTCTGTCTCTGTATCTCTCTCAAATGAATAAATAAAATATTTTTAAAAAATAAAGTAAATTTAAAAAATAAAGATTTTATTTATTTGACAGGGAGGGACACACAACGAGAGAGGGGACACAAGCAGGGGGAGTGGCAGAGGGAGAAACAGGCTTCCTGCCAAGCAGGGAGCCTGATTTGGGGCTCGATCCCAGGACCCTGGGACCATGACCTGAGCCGAAGGCAGACGCCTAATGACTGAGCCACCCATGTGCCCCGTAAACTTCATTGTTTTATTTTAAGAAATTGCCACACCCCAACCTTCAGCAACCACCACCCTGATCAGTCAGCAGCCATGAACAATGAGGTAAGACCCTCCACCAGGAAAAAGATTACCACTCTCTGAATGCTCAGATGACGGTTAGCATTTTTTAGCAATAAAGTAGTTTTAAATTAAGGTATGTACATTGTTTTTTTTAGACATAATGCTATTGCAT